GATGTGATGGAGGCACGAAGATAGAGTCGATGTCTGCGATTCTTTTGGCTGCAGCCTAACTGCAAGAAATATCTGAAATTCCATGTGGATAGCATGTGTGTGCACATATTCTATTGCACAGTATCTTGAAAGATACATATAGCAATTTCCCGGAATTATTTTCCATGTTATATACAGGGCATTCATTTATATTTGATATATTCATTTAAATTGACATTAAAACACAAATAACAAAAACAAAACAAAAAAACAAACCAAGACTACTGCCAAGAACAAAACCATTTTAAATGTGGATCTTGTGGGCTGCAGTGTGTGGGAAGCTGGTGAGGAATCAACTCCTACTCTTTCCAGAGGTATGAGAACATCAGTACAGTCTTTGCAAATTAGGAGAAAATTATACATAATGTTGTTGTTTTTTCTTAGCATTTCATCATCTGTGATCATAATGTCAGGACACTACGAATTTTAGTTGAAAGTAGTCTCTGAGTGCCTGATATGTGACTTTACTTTTTTCATGCAAATCCAGAAATCGATCACTTCTTTGTCTGTGTGCATCGTGAGAAGGCTGTCTATTTCTCTGAAGAATCAGCAACAAAACAAACAATCTTAAATAGGATATGGATGAGTGACTAGTAGAGATTTGCATGTGATATCACTCAGGGAGTGTCCACACACACACAAAAGCATGAACAAAAATGCACATGTACACGATGTGTGCCTTGTGATGGTGAGCAATGATTTTGCATAGTCTATGTTTAATGCGTGTGGGTGTGTGTTACTTTGCATTGTCGTTGGGTGTGGACTGTGCAACAAACATTCCTGTTTTCTGAGGTGAAAAGGGAACTTTAAAAGTCTCTTTAAAAAAGCAGGTGAAACTGCTTGCAGTTTATTTACTTACATTTCAAACACTAATGTCAAGATCTTTGGCACTCTCTATTCACACTCAGTGTGGGCCAACAAGGTGCAGTTAAAATAGTCTCCGAGGGGATGACCCGACGTGACCGTAGCAGCTGAGAATTTCATCAGAGAGGGCGGAAATAGAAGAATGGAAGAGAGGGGGAAGGATCAGAGGCAGAAGAACGATGGAGGAGGATCCCAAACCAAACAAAAGTGGTTGTTAAAAGAACTAAACCTGGTGCATTCTGTCATCCTGCTTCTGAGACTCTGTAACCACCAGGCCACCCTGAATCTCTCACTCATTTCAATCAGACCAGTGTGTTGGCACAGCAGGTTGCTGCAGTGCAGTGGACATCTCAGCCTAACACGTCCTCCAAATTAAACAAAAAAGACACTGTTTGCAATTGACCGTAAGGTAAGCACCGCCCCCTGCCGCTACTCCGTCAAGCTGTCAATGCTACCACGGAGCCCACACTGTCACTAACTGCACTCACTGAATAAATAATATCGATTAACTTAGCAAAGGGGCTATCGTCCTCCAGAATGACATATACTGTATATAAGTTGTTTTGCGCATAATAAGGAGCACTGACAAATGATGTCATCGCTCAAATGAACTGCATGCACTTGCACAAAACTCACAAAATGTTTAAAATGTTTACACGAATTAAGATTAACAATTGGTCCAGGAGCTCTTGTTTTATGACAGAGAACAAATGTTCTAATGTATACACATACAGTACATGACTCTCGTGATGGGCAATTACTGTGGCTAAAATATCTCAACTATTGAACAGATTTCTATGAATTTTTCGACAGACATTCATGGTCCCTGGACTATGAATCCTACTGACTCTGGTGATCCCCTGACTTTTCCTCTAGCGCCACCATGAGGTTCAGATTTGTGGTTATGAGTGAAATGTCTGAACAACTATTGAACCGATTGCCATGAAACTTTGTTCAGACTCGTCATGTTCCCCCTCAGGGTGAACCGTAATCACTTTGATGAGTACCTTCACTTTTCATCTTGTGTCATCGTCAGGTCCATTTTAATTTGTCCAATATTTGGGTTTATGAATGAATACCTGTAAAGAATATTGACATTCCAATCAGCCTTAGCTGTACTTTGTACTTAGTACTAATAAGCAAATGCTAGCATGCATTTTTTGAATGTATTAGACGAACAAAATGTCACTTTCAGAGGTGTTGGTAAGTGGATTTTATTACTTTTGGATGGAGCCAGGCCAGCTGTTTCCCTCCGTTTCAACTCTATATGCTAAGCTAAGCTGCTGGTATCTTTATATTTACCATACAGACATTAGATGGTGGTTTCTCATCTAACTCTCAGCAAGAAAGCGAATACACATACAGTTTAGTGTCAACTCTGATCTCCTTCCTTCAGGGTCGTCATGTGTTTACACTGCACTCTGCACTCAGGTTAGACACATTTCAAACACACTTTAGTTTGAAAAGAGTCTTTCTGCACGTTCCAATACCCATACTACCAGACTATCTAGTATGTAGTGTGACAAAAATACCAGGATGGAAGACAACATTTTGCAGTATGCAAGCCAGCATGCTTGACTGGCTATTCTGATCCACAGTTCTCTGCGTAGGGGATATATGAGAGGGTCAGAGTTGTTATGACAAAGTAGTATGTCCCAATTAAATGCATACTGCATGAAACAGTACATACTTTGTAAGGGTAGCTGTATGTAAAGTAAAAAGAAAAAGTATTATAGAGAAAAGTAAGCAATTTGGAACGCAGTGTCATTGGGTATTAATTTCTTTACTTTCTTCCTGTACTCAATCAATAGGCAGTACAAGTGTATAAATGTAGAGCCTATACACATGAGCACTAACTGCCACAATAGGGGTTTGATTCCCGCTGGGCTCGTCCAGTTTAAATATGCATGATCTCATATGGATAAAAGTGTCCAATAACGTTAGTTTTCTCCCTGTCTAGAGGTTTAGCAGAGCACTGTGCGCGGGGTAATGTCAGCTTCTCTCTCCATTCAAGGAACTAATTGAACCTTTTCAGCGTTTCCATTAAAGGGTGTGGAGAGGCATGGAAGGATGAGTGAAGTGGAAAGAGGAAGGATATCATAGCAATTTCACAAACCATTCTTCCAAGTCTCGAGCTGCACTGTTGTCTTTCTCTGCTTAGCCTCGAAGGATTAATTGCACACTTAATGACACCCATGTCTTTGCGCCGTCTCTCTGCGCTGCACCCTTCTCTTTGTGTCCGTCCCTATCGCTCCATTGCTTAGAATACAAAGTACTAAAGACAGCGATGGTTTGCATAATGTAGATCAGTGTGTTGTTGCTGCTTTGAAAGAGTAATGTTGAGCAACTGTTGGTTGAAAGACTATCATATAATACTGAGAAAGCAGTGAATAAAGCTCGTGAAAGGTTTGCCTGAATACGTTTCTCAGATAATGACAGATGGGCCAACATAAAGAAAATATCACATTACACACTCTTGACAGGGCAAACAATTGGGGGAGGGGAAGGCATGAAAACACACACACACACACACACACACACCGAACACTTCTCCTTGTTCTTCGATTGCAAAGCCAGACAAACGATATCTGTCGACCAATCACCTTTTCCCATAAGGCCAGTGAGCCAATGAAACAGCTTGGTCACAAAGTGTAAATGTGTTTGAACAGAAACAACTGTGGGCTACAAAGACACGTGTTATAATCAAGCACAATTTTTGAAGCTGCTCTGTACATAATTACCATGTAACACATAATAAATGTGAGTAGTTCAGAGATTCAGGAGGGCCACAAAGTTGTAAAGGGTACTAATATCCTCAGGAGACATCAACAATGCAGTTGACATGAGTAATACCATGTTGTTGTGTAAACAATGTACATGACTATGGTAGACAATGGTAACAGTTACTTTTACGATTGTGCTTCTTTTTTTTAAAATGCTACAACACCTGTATTGTTGCTCTATGTGAGATCTTTCTCCCCTTTTATTACGTCTGTGCATTGTGGGAGCTCATGCGCTCTGTGTGTGTGTGTGTGTGTGTGCGTGCGTGTTTGTGTGTGTGTGTTGTACATGTTTAGTCAGCAAAACTTGCCCTAAAAAATGCGCATTGCATGAAATCATACTGTACATTATCAGGAATCAGTTCAGATGTATTCATTTCAGTATCTTTAACTCAAAGTTGTATAAAACTTAAATACAATCTCTCTCTCTCTCTCTCTCTCTCTCTCTCTCTCTCTCTCTCTCTCTCTCTCTCTCTCTCTCTCTCTCTCTTGAATGTGTGGGAAAGTGCTCAATTTAAACAACAGCACATTCTAGTGGACACAGTTATATTCAGCTCAAGTAATCACACTGGTTTTCAGACAATAAATAAACTGGCTGCTGCTAATTCAGGTTAGAATTTAGTGCATTTGCTAAAACTAAATTTCTCTAATCCATTACTGTGCACACCACAGACCAAACCTGAATCCTAAACTCTGATTCCTAAGTGATCTAATTGGTATGGGAGTGGTATTTCAGTTCAGGTACTAAATGGAAAATTTTTAGTGCAGTTGGGAAGTAGAGAAATTCTTGCTTAATATAAGTCAGTCCTATAACGATCTTGTGCGGTACACCACTGTGGCAGCTCTTTAAATAAGACAGCTACGGTTTGATGAATTACTATGAAACTCTGACAGTTAAAATATTTGCATATTAACGTGCAGGTGTTTTGTTTGCCTGGGAACTTCCAAGGTATGACCATGTAAATGTAGGTTAATGCCAATTAATGTACTGTTTCTGTTATTTACCAACTTGTTTCATGTTAAAGGTAGTTAAATACTAAACTTTAAGAATAATCTTATCACAATTGTTTGGGCATTTGTATGACTCTGAGACATGAGTGACGTGTGCTGTTTCCTGTATTCTGTTGCAGGATGTATGAAAAATAATCCGCCCCCTAAAAAATGTAGATATATTTCCAAATAAAATCGTTTATTTTTTTCTCTCATTAATTTTGTGTTCATTACTCTTTTCTCTCCAATGGGATGTCAAAGGTCAGGTGAGAAAAAGTGTCAGGAACGCACTGCGCGATCGGATCGAACCTGTGCGCATGCGGAACCTTAGAAGGGGGAAGACATTAAGCGGAGGACACTCCTGTAAAAATGGAAGACGTACCGGATAATGCACCTGAGCGTGAGTCTTTAAACTTTTTACATTTTTGTGGGTACTTTTAGTCAGTGAAGTTGATTCGTAATGTCTAATATTGCCGTTAACTGTCGGGTTGTGTTGTGTTTCAAACAAACGTCTCAGTGTTACCGTTAATGTCATCCCTGTTGCTGTTAATCTCTCTTGTTACTGTTGGCAACACTAACTAAACGTTCTTGCACCATCTTTCAGGGTATCTGTTAGCTAAAATATTAAATATTCATATGGACTGTACTATAAAACAAAACAGAAATCGCGTGTGGAGTTATGAAGTTCAATGACGCACTTACTAGAGTGTTTTTCCTAACGTGACGCCATTAGATACAGTAGCTAGATCAACGTTAGCGGCTCAATGTCGGAGCAGACATTGGTCATCTTTGCCTGAACAACAATATAATGAACACACGGGGCTTCTTCTTTGTTTAATAAACTGCCACACCACTCTCTGCAATGTTGCTGAGTCATTGTGACCCAGAGGAGAATGACTGCAGCTACTGTTATGTACTGATAATAACACACCACTTTAACCATAATGTTCTGCAGTAGCTTATTGCACTGAAGAATGGAAGAAATTATATATTCTTTATCCCAGATTTATATGTAATCTTATAAACATCCAGTTTCCTTTTGATTCTCCATATAATATTTGTAATGTTGTTAAAATCATCACAGGAAGTCCAAGACTTAGTGTTTTTCTATGGCTGCACCGCTCCATCAAGTGTGACTATTGTAGTGAGTGACATTTATGTACGTTTACACTAAATGTACCATGACATCTTTGGTATGTTTGGAAACTCTGGCATCTCTACTAGAATACAAAAGAAAGTTTGAAATGACTTTCAGACTGCCCGGGTACACAAAGTGAGGAGGCAGGAAAGTCCTCGTCATGTCAGGGCTGTCCCAACCAGAAAATATGTGCTTCTGGAGCCACCACGGCCCCCGATCCGGGTAAGACTGTTACCGCATCATTATGATCATTCATTTACAGTTCAACAAATACATTTGGGATTATTGGGAGGATTTTAATTGAACAGTAAAAATGTAGCAGCTTTAAAACAACCCAAATTTCAGTGAGCTGTCTTTTTGAGAGTCTTCTCCGTCCCGTGTCTCTCCTCCAGCCATAGCAGAGATAGGAGCGAAGATGTCAACAGTCAAACACAAGATCCTTGTGCTGTCTGGAAAAGGAGGGGTGGGGAAGAGTACCTTCAGTGCTCACCTGGCCCACGCTCTGGCAAGTGACAGCACGAAGGAGGTAAGATTTATATTTTCATCTATCACTGTGCAAAAACCACAGAGCCACCAGCTGGTATTTCAAAACACAAAACCATGAAGGCTACCAAACTATTTGGTTAAACTAGACATGTATGGTATTCTTTCTCCGATGGGTTCTGCGTGACAGTTTCAACCTCTCAAACCCATTGTCTGTGTCCTTAAACGCTCAGGTTCAGTCTAAAAACAGTTTCTGTTTCTTGTGGAAATGAACTAAACGCCTCTAGAGGTCACTGCTGACATGGTTAACAGAAGTGTACGGTCATAAAGTTGAGTACAAGGACAGAAAACAATTTCCATTCGGGCTGAATGATTACAAATTAAATAAAACTAATTGCCATTCTTGTGTCCGATAATGCAATAGCGATATGATTTGCGATATTAGAGGGAATATATATATATATATATATATATATATATGTTTTTATATATTTATTATGAGGGTCTGTGCCAAATATAGATATTTTCTTCAGACTATGACGTGTAGTCCAGGACATCTATGCAGCACGACAATATTTCATTTTATTATTTCGACACACATCTTGCTTTTAACAAATATTTCTCCTCCTGAGATTTGAAATTCACAGTGTGACATATTGAGATTTTGATGAAATGTAGTTTGGCTATGCAGCCCTGATTTCCATATTTACCATATTCCGAATGAATGCACAGTGCTATTCGTGCCACAGTCTCTAAATCACACGAGTGAGATGGACCTTAAAGGTAACTTCATCATGTAACCAGATTAGCTGCTGTTTAGCTGTGTTCTGGCTCGTCTTTAACACAGCGATTGAGTCCAGATTAGTATTCAGCTGCATTTTAAACCCCTTGAAGTTCTATTTGAGCTCAACCTGTTCCTAACTGCAGCTGAGCGTGTCAGTGACTCATTGTTGTATTTATGATAACGGAGTTGCAGCGTGTTGAAGACTCGTGTAAACCACACACCTCACTGGTCATTGCTGTTTTTGAGGATAAAAGACTTAATGTGGAATGGAAGGCCAGTTCAGCTCGTCAGACTCCAGGAGGCTAAAGAGTGTCTCTGTTCTTAGGTTGCCCTGCTGGATGTGGATATCTGTGGTCCATCCATTCCGAGGATCATGGGCTTAGAGGGAGAACAGGTGAGTTTTGGGCAGAAATGTTCCCGGCAATGCAGACGTACAGTGATGGAAGAGTCATGTTAAGCTGTTACTAGAGCTGTGGTCTGCTCTCTATTGCAACAGGTTCACCAGAGTGGCTCAGGCTGGTCTCCTGTGGTGAGTCAGTTCACACAATGCTGCTTTAGTTTTTAATATTTCATTCGTTGAAGAACTTTGCACATTTAATACGTGTGTGTGTATTGTATGTTGCAGTATGTGGATGACAACCTGGCGGTCATGTCTATTGGCTTCCTGCTCAGTAGTCCTGATGATGCTGTGATCTGGAGAGGACCCAAGAAGAATGGTAGTGTTTTCATGTGTGTAAAATGTCTCAATCATTTTTCAAAATGTCGCACCATTATAACCTGTGTGGTGTTTGTCTGAAATTAGGGATGATCAAGCAGTTTTTGAGGGATGTTGACTGGGGGGATCTGGATTACCTCATCGTGGACACGCCCCCTGGCACCTCTGACGAACACCTGTCGCTGGTCCAGTACCTGAGCTCCACCCACGTTGACGGAGCAGTCATCATCACCACACCACAGGTAGCACACGCACACACACGCTCACATATATACGACCTATGACTGGCTGCAGTAACTCACATGAACAGCTGCAGTTACACTTTAAAGGGAAATTCCACCCTCAAATATCGTCCGCGTCTACATTCACTCCTGCTGATTTGACTACTTGTACTTTAGTTGGTGGTTTCCTACATTTCCCAGAATATATTGCAACCACCTTGACTTTTTACGATGGTGTTTTTTATGTAACACTAGAAAGTAATAATGATAGTGACACTAATAGCCACGACGATATTAACAGACAGAGAAAGAGAGAGTGATGACCCTTTACTCAGCCGCCTTGTATTATGCAATAGTCTCGTGCTGCATTCAAATGCAATCAGACAGACGGACATCACCTCCTGCACAGCATGGGGAGGAAAAACAATAGTAAGACTGAATGGCAGGATGGCAAAATGAAATGTGCAGCATGGAAAAAATATATATATAATAAATGATTTTGTATAATTATTCTAGTGATGCATGTAGATACAAAATGCAGCTCTCTCTTAATATTTGATTGCAAACTTGAGCAACTGTCTCCGGTGTGAGGGAGATGCGTAACGTCCGGTTCTAAATTAATTTGCAGAGGACGGCAAAAAGTTAAAATATCTTAACTTTGGACAATACCGTTTAGCTTCTATTGTTGCAGGTATTCTCTGTCGCCTCAGCTAATTTTACCGTCCTGCTCTAGTCCACTAACATGATATCCGGTTTGCCGTCCACGTGAATGCAGCGTAGCTACTACTGACCATGTGAAAACTAGTATCTGCCTTATTGTGACACAGCACAGATAATTCCAGCCCAGTTACAAAGCTATTTGTCTAGACAAACAAAGGGCAGTTTGCAGTAAACATAAGGTTTTGTTGTAATGTCCCTAAAGAAAGAACTTTAGCAAATGCCAAACACAAAGGACGAAGAGAGGAGGACCTCATTAGCCCGTTATGCGAAGTGGTTGTGTTTTTAGTAAAGGGTGAGATCTAATTTCATCTCAACTGGAAAACCCCCTCGCTTCCATTACTGCTGTGACTGTCACCAATTCTCTCTCCACCTACATGTTCAACCCACAGGTGGATACAGCCCGTGACCACCCGTTGCGGAGGGGTTGTGGAAATAAATGCTAAGAAATGTTAAGAAACATAACATTAGTACACATTATCAGTATCTTTTTCTAATCTTAACCAAAGGGTTTCATCAGCCTAAATGTCAGCACACAGGCCTGTGCCACAGGACGGTATTGTAGTGATAAGCAAACATTCTGGAACAGTGTTGCAGATACAGTACACGTGATAAGGACAAGGGCAGACTGCAGCGCATCGTTCGCTCTGCTGAAAAGGTGATTGGCTGCAATCTGCCGCACCTCCAAGACTTGTTTGTCTCCAGGACTCTGAGGCAGTTTTTTTTTATTATTCAATAAATAAAACAAAAAGAACTGTCGTATGGTAACCGACAACGGATGCTGTTTTATCATAAACCCATAAAAAGACTATGCTCCAGTGGGACCACACACCTATGACCACACCATATAAAGTTATACTCCACCATGTGTATATATAAACCAGTATATACACATATACTGGTGTTTTATATAAACCACCAGTTTATATAAAACACAATAAAAGCAGCACAATGATGGCAAGACAATGAACCCTATGCATACACAACGTACTCTTCTAAGGTACACACACTGTCAAAAGGTAGTATAAAACACACAAATACAACACAATACTATCAGGCTGGTTGGATTAGGAGTTCTGGATTGTTTGTATGATAGGGACACACAACTTAAGTGTCACATGGGTGTGTGAACTATACTGGCTCCAGAAAGTCCGATGCCGTAACGATGAATTGTGTGTGTGTGTGTGTGTGTGTGTGTGTGTGTGTGTGTGTGTGTAATATAAAGACAAAGCTCCAGTGCTGCAGCTTTCTGACCTAATGTTACATTCACCTGACTGTGTCGGCCATATTGGAGATACTCTGTTTCGTAAACAGCAGCGTAGTTCCTGTGCTGTCCCTCAGCTTGGACTGTCTTATCCTTGCACAATATTTTCACAATGAGCCACTGTTATCTTTTGATGTTTGTGTTGGCGTCCCTAATCAATGAAGTTGTACTGTACTTGGTGAAGGATTTAATCCGAGCTAACATTTCCTCATACTTCAATTAGACCAGGTCTACAGCAGTAGAATCGCTTCCTCATTCCTCCGGCTCTTACTTGACCAAAACTAACCACACATGAGCTGGGAATCATCCAAACTCTGTTTAATATTAATAGACGAGCTGCCCAGCTCCTGATATCAAAGACATACCTTTTTATTTTCTCTCATAAACATTCCAAGCTGATCAGGTTATCCGTGCCAACTGCTTTTTCTCAAGGGAACCGTGACAACAGTTTCCATTCCTTTCACTAGTGCGTTTGTTTTCTCCCCGTCTCCTCTTGCTTCACCTTCCTCTTTCTGCTCCTCTCTCTTTCTAGGAGGTGTCGTTGCAGGATGTGCGAAAGGAGATCAGGTTCTGTCAGAAGGTCAAGCTGCCGATCATCGGGGTGGTGGAGAACATGAGTGGCTTCGTTTGTCCCACATGCAAGGTCTCTGACAGATGTGCACACACGGTGTTGCAAGCAGACGACCAGACACACACGTACACACAGAAACGCATCGAGGCAAAACCAGCAGCCGTCTGGGCAGTTGAAGGACACGGTGGAACAAACATGACCACTGAGCTGTCACTGCAAACGGGTTAGGACTTGCTGTCGCTAAGAAGCGTTAAAGCTTTATGATCGTCTTTATTCTGTGCTATGAAGATGTTTTGAAAGTGCTACCGTTGCCGTGTAAATCAGGTCAAAACACAAACTAGCGTTGAGAAGCGGGTCTCTGTTGACACGCAGACCGTGAGACAGTCACAGAAGAGCTCACAGTCTGTGTGTGCAGCAGGACCATCCCAAGTGTGTCAGGATATCTCGGCCTCGGCTGCTTTGATTTTGACCGCTTGTTTTGTAATCAGTAACCCAACTTCATGAACTCTTTAAGCGTCTGTGCATCAGTGTGCATTGTGTGCTTTTATGTGTGTCTTTTATGTTGCTGTCTTGGCCGGGATTCTTTGGTAAAGAGATCTTAAATCTCAGTGGAACTATCCCGGATAAATAAAGGTCAAATAAGAAATAAAGAAATTTCATAAATATTAGTTTTATGAAAACCGGACTGACTCTCCTCAGTGAATAGTTCACTGTGGCTGTTCATGTTGTTCCAGAGTTCAGCATGCATAGAGAGCGTACTAGTAGTTTAGGATCCATAGAATCTGAAAATGCAAACATAACTTGGATTGTCGCGTCTCTTGCAGAACACTTCACAGATCTTCCCTCCCACTAGCGGGGGCGCAGAGCGGATGTGTGCGGACCTCGATCTACCCCTGTTAGGAAAGGTACCGTTGGACCCGAGGATAGCCCGATGCTGCGACGAGGGCAAGTCTTTCCTCAATGAAGTCCCTGACTCGCCTGCTGCTAAAGTCTACCAGAATATCGTGCAGAGTGAGTGTTTACAGGAATATAAACCCAACACGCATTACACCAGCATCTGAGATGTCCGTTGGGCCTCCTCTCGCTTCATATTGTAGATTCTGTTACATTCCATAGAAAGGACGTTTGACGCACATACGGATTCCAGCGAAGTCCCCTCTTATTTTTGATGACTAGATGGTTTATGATGACTCGATGTCCCAATTCTGATTAAATGTAACGAAAGAAGAAGCGATCACTTAACAAATGGGAAGCAGTCGACTTAAAGGGAAGAGGAAAAGAACGAAATTGAATAAATGTACTTATAGCATGGGATTATAGTTGAGGAATCAAATGTGGTTTGTGTAACGGATGAGTTACTTTGATTTAGCACGCAGTTAATAAAAAGCCAAAACACACAGATCTTTAAACACAGGTATATTTATGTGTGTCCTTCATCAAAACTATCGTTATCCTCCTCGTCTCACTCCTCTGCTCTCTCCTCCAGGTATTCAGGACTACTGCTCCAACCGTGTGACGGAGGAGCAGAGCAGCACATGAAGCCACTCCGATGGCGGCCATATTGGACCAGAGCAGTGAGAGAGATGACACGATGAGTGTGGTAGAAACCATTAACTGCTGAATAAGAAACACACTTAGGAGAGCGAATAACGTTAATAATGCAACATTCACCAAAGTCAGAATTCTGTCAACATGATGACGAGTCACAACAGGCAGCAGCTTGCATACCTCACAGTGCCGTGGTTCATTCTGCAGTGACGATCCAGAGGATTAAATAAATGTATATAATGAAATGGGGACTTGTTCCTTTCAATATTTAGAAATAATTGCAGCTTGATAATGATGGGTTGTCTTATTCAAATATGCACTTGAACATAATTTTGAACATGAAAGCTTGCATCAAAAAAATAAATTCAAACCACCACTCTGATACTCTGTATATAACATGTTTATACTTGAGATGAGATAAATACTTTAAAATCCCTGAAGTATAATTGATATAAGGCAGTTTGAAATGTTTATCTTAAAGAATAAAGCTGGCGATATTCCTTTTTGTTATTGTCTTATAATTAACATTAAAAAAATAAAATACAAATGCGTTGTGCTGTTTCTCAATACTGTCGGCATTACACGGCCTCTATGTGGCTCTAAAAGCCCATTGGTTCATTCTGAAGATGTACACTTACACCAGCTGGGCCCTGTAGATTTTAACTAAACTTTAGGCAAAACGGGAGTAAATACTGTATTTATTTGGGACTGTTTTGGGCTGTGGATTAATACACGAGGTGTTCCAGTGAGTGTTCATAGCAGCAGGATGGGATTTACTCAAACATTAGAGAACCTGTTTGTCACATTAAAGGAGCACGTCTTTCAGTTTTGTAGTTTGGAGTGCTGGAGAAGGACCTAAATAAATACAGACGCAACAGCAGGCCGACTGGTGCAGTTAAAGGATTTAATAAACAAAAAGCTTACAAGCCGAGAGTCCGAAAAGCAGGCAGAGAGAGGTACAAAACTCCATGCAGCAATGAAGACGACAAAGACTAACTGACTAATGATAACGGGAGCACAGAGACTGAATACACAAGAAAGAAGGGAGAAAACGAGGGACAACTCGCAGCAGGGCTGTCGAGGAAAAAATGAAGCAAATCAGTGCGGGGCAAAACATCACAAAGGCAGGAAGTTTAAAAAAAAGACGAGACAGACGAGAAGATAAGTTTCAAACTAAAAGGGAAACAAACTAGAGAAAGAAGAAAAAGCCCAGGACCATGAACAACAGTGGCTCAATGATGTGTTTTAATGGAGTTTACAGCACAGAGGAAGACAGTTATGTACACAGACAATACTTCACTAATTAAAGTATTGAAGTTTTTGGTCCTTACATGGAAATAATAAGTAGATTATTACCTGACATTCATTCATGTTACAGTATAGGTGGGGACCTGAGCAGTGCCAGGGGCTCAGTCTGGTAGGCCCCCACATGTCATGAAGACATGAAGTTGAATGTGTCTTTGTCCCAGACTGATGAGGATGCTGGGATGCATCCTAAGTTACTGAATAGATACAGTCGGTTCTTTTTGGTGGATGTAAAGAGGTAGAGACTCTCCACATTGTGCTGTAGTCAGGGAGATGCTATTTGGGGAAGTTAAATCTCTGATCATGATGGAGTCAGTCCAGCAGCAGTGTCAAACATCTCAACATTTCCTACGAGAGAGTCAAATGATCAGCACCGTCACTGGGATTCAAGTCCTTTAAATACAAAGCGCAGTATTATCAGCATAGTGTAAAATCTAAACTTCTGATTTTATTTTGTGTTTATCTAAGATATGCAAACTGTATATAAGGAAACTGAACTTTCTCATCTTCGATTGGAGACCAAATGTTGCATGATTTGAAAAATGTTTTCATACAAAAAAGCTGCCGGCAAAATGTCCCAACATTTGATTCAATTGAACTTTCTGTGGTTAGATGATGTATTTGTTGTAAAAAGTTGTTTTAGATGCATTGTATTGTACTTCCTTTAACTGATTTATAAAATGAAATACCAAACATGAAATCACCATCAATGTTTTTTCTATCAAAGTTTCTAAACTATTGATGCAGGATTATTTTTGTTTGATCTGTTTATCAAATAAAAGATGAATTAATATAACCTGATTTTTAATATTGAAACCCGCACTTTGAGTATTTTAACAACATATTTCCCTCATAATGGTATTGACTGTGTGGACAGTGTTGGTATACGTGGTGAGAACACAGTTCCACTGGTTTGTCACTGCCAAGTCTTGCCACCATGTTTTATCCGTGTGGGTGTCTGAGTGTGTACATACGCCATACAGGGTGGTAGTTCCTCTAGGTTTTACCAAAAAACACATGTGAAACTGCATCTGCATCCTGCTAATGGATAAAACAACAGCAGCGACACAGAAAAAGTGTTTCTCACACGTAGCTCTACTGTTATTTGATGATTGGGTTGGTTGCACTCTGTTGAGTTATAAAAGTATGACTTAAAGCACTCAAATGTTTTCCTCCGTGTAAGGAAATTCAGTCTATGTAGAAAAATACAAATATTGCAAAAAATAGTTTTATTTCCTAGAATAAAAGCACAACTATTTTAACAAGTGAAGGGCTAAAGATTATAGTGTCCATAACTAATACTTTTAGACGCTTTAAGAATTCAGTGCACATGAACATAATACAGAGGGTACCAAATATTAACAGTGAAAGCAGAGCACTGAACTGCTTTATGGAACACTAACACATTATTTCAGCTGCTTTAAGAGATTCAGCAAAGCACCTGTGTCTCTCGCTATTTTAAATGAACTATTCTTGACAACAATGAGCACTAACTTTAACGAGCTGTCTTCCTGTTGTCAAAGGTGCTAAACTCTAAATTCTGAACATTAATATACCAGCAAACGACTATTATCTGTGAATAGATACACCTTTAATTGATGACCTCTTCTGTGGTGATACTAAGGAAGTGATGTAAGGTTAAAACGAGGCGTGGCAGTTGGGCATGCATTGTTTAGCCAAACCAGTTCTGTTCCATAGAATAGACAACAGAGTGGACACATTTAATAGTTATGGTGACACCGGTTAGCTCACTTGAGGTCATGTAACACCTGGAGGACAGAGCATACTAAGAAGCATTCAGTGAAAAGTATCATAAGCAATATATATACAGTACTTATAGATTATTATTCTATTATATCAAAATATAATATATATAGCAATACATGTGATAATCAAGCATTTATAAACAAATGCCTACATGTGTAATTGTGTTGGCATGTTTGTATTAGTCATAGAAGTGTGTGGGATGTGATACTGCACTCAAAATATGTGTGTGGCTTGAAAAAATGCAAAATATTCAATGTCATTGGACAAAATGCATTCTAGTTTGCTTAATAAACATCAGGGGTGATGTAAGAAGATTGATGAAAGCATTCAGTCTGAAGCTGAACAAATATTCTCCTTGGGTAAACATAATCTAACCTCACTTCCTAATGATACTGACGTCTCTGTCTCCAGGAAATTAAAGTCTCTCACGTGTATTCCGAAACAGATCGCTGAAACAAGTCTTCCAACACACCTCCCCCTCCAACCACACAAACTCCTCCCTCTTTTAATGAGAACGCCTCCTCAACAAAATCATTGTGTCCCTTTAAAAACAACAACAACCTAAAACTCCTTCATCTCTGCTAGTAGCTGTCTTTTCTTTTTTTAGACATCATTGTCCCGGGAGCAGACGCCATCGGCATGGCCCAGTTCGAGGAGGTTCTGAAGGGGTGCAGCTGGCTTGGACGGTTGGCCCTGCTGGACGGTTCGGTGGAGGAGCGGATCATCTCAGAGACCTACGGCAAGAGCTCGAGTCTGCACCGACTTACCATCAGCGGATGAACCTGACAGCACAGGGTCCAGGCCAGAAAAACATCCACTGTTCAGGAATTGAGGGGGAGGGGGGGGACCAGTGTTGGACGAACGCCGATAGTATGTGATTACCCAATGCGGTGACCATGAAATTGCAGAACTGAAGTGCAGAATCAATGCAGAAGCCATAAAGTGATAATGAAAGTGTGGATGAGGGGAATTTGGAGAAAGAGAAGGAGTGGTTAGAACAGGTAGAGAAGGCGACTAGAGTGATAGCTGTCCCTCTGTAGCAGCACTGGGACAGAGGACGGAGGATGTTGCTGCCCATGGTTCCTTGTATGACTCCTGTCTGTGCAACAAGTGAAAACACAGCGACAGACAGTGAAGCACAATGCCCTGCTTTGAATATGGAAGAGGAAACAGAGCTCGCAATCGCTTGCAGGACATTAGATTTCTACGCTGACAACTTTGTGGAGATTACGGGCCCAAGCTTCCCACTGGATACAGGAGGAGCACCGGAAGGCCTCTGTTTCTCTACAGACGACAGCAGGGAGACAACTTTTCTGAACATGGATCATTGCTTAACCTCTGAAGCGGGAAGAAGCGCCTCACCTGTTCAAGCCTGCGCTGCAACATACGGGCTGGAGGGAAATCTGGACGGCTGCTGGGAGGCGGACAGGACAGCAGACACAGCAGAGGACCTGCTCTGTTTGATGAGACAGGAGCAATGTGGCGCCGAAGCAGGATTTGCAGAAGACATTGCACATTTATTTTCTCCCTGTGCACCGACAGACACTCATACTGACGCCCGAGATCACTCTTTCTCCTCTAACAAAGATCACAGCATGACATTGGACATTGCAGAAAACATTTTCAGGACCGCTTATAGTACAAACACTTGCAGCGCTGACGATTCCCACGAGAATGGAGAGGCTGAGGAGAGGGTGGAGACACACTGGGGTAAGTTGGCACTCAATCATCATAAATCGTGTCCCCTCTTGCTGGTTTTCTATTATTCTATCATGCCTTTAAGTCTTTGTCTGTTCTCATCTCCGTGATGTGCCTGGGGTTATAGGAACACCATCAAAGCCTTGATTCCGTGGTTGTATGGGTGCTGAGAGAAAGTTCTCCAGGTGCTTCCGTTTTCCCTTTGGTGCTTTCCACTCAAAGTCACCTGCATGAGGTGGCAGACAATATTTGTTTAGTGGTGTTTTAGGTGGACAGGATTTGGAGGTTAATGTGTGCCACACTTTCACTTTTGATTTTGAGTCATTCCCAGGCTGCTAATTATAGGGAAAAAGGGTGTGCGCTTCCCACGCTGGCAACGAAGAAGAATTTTGTTTTTGTCTGTTAGGAGTGTAAGATGATGTCATTCAAAGGATTTGATATACAGTACATACTGTAGTTTTAGATAATCAAATTAGTGTTTTGTATTCTAAAATATTCTGAAAAATATAAGTCAATCTCACATCTCTGCCGGCTTGAATATTTCACTCAATTTGAGTTCGAGCAGTGATCCATTGGAGGCTTCAGACGGAGGAATTAAAAGGGGCACATGGGCTCAAGGGTTCCTGGTGGACTTTGCCGCAGGGAAACCTGCTATCAGTGCACACAACGCAAAGTTGAGGCAAAGAACAAAAATGTTTTGCCCAGAGGAGATTAGTTGAATGTAACATAATTCAATTAAAAGGCGGAGCTCCATTTTCATGCACATAGGTGTTACCTGTTGTTATTATTAATCCACTAGCATGTGGTGCATTTATTCAGCTCAGGTAATGTTGCTACAGTTCAGAATGACATCAGTCTGACTTGAGATCATGCTGACTACTTTCAAATAGCTACGGACCTTCCTGTTTACCATTGCTTTCGATTGGTTTTCTTTTAAATCTGATTTATTTGTTATTTGGTTTCATTGGGGTTTTTGTGCTTTTGTTTGCTTGCTCATATTATTTTTATCATGTGTTTCTTGTGTAATCTGTAAATGACTTTGGGTTGCATCCGGGTATGAAATGTGCTAAATAAATAACTGTGCCTGTCCTGACATTATTTTGTATAATAACTGATCCGTGGCAGGAACACGTGGAAAAGGATGACTTTTGAGTCAGGTGCTGGCTGTCTTCACATGCAAAGGGAGTTTATTTTTCGGAACCGCAGAAATTTGTTGGAGCTGGCATGGTGGAATCAGGGGTCAACGAGAGAGGTATCATGGCCACATATCTGAAAGAAAATCCTGGAGAAGTCCATGAATGGATTTTTAATGAAGTAAAAGGAAATTACTGGAAGCCAGGGCATCAGGGACTTAAGAACAGGAGAGGTGTGCACAGTTTAAACTCTGTACCTATTTGTTTGTTGACTTTGTGTCTCACTGACCTTTAGTCTGGCCTGGTTTGTCTGATTAGTGTTGATTAGCAACACCTGCATTTTGAGCCTGTGCTTTATAGTGTACAGTACGTTATTTAGGGTTTAGCTTTGACTGTCCATCACATACCTCACAACCCTCTGTGTTCAACTGATCATTTAAGGAGTGACAGGCTTTCAAAGATGTGTCTTCATGATGGCAGTTACATGAGGACCTAAACCCAAACTGCCGTCTCCTCCAGAAACAAACTGCTGCTTCAGGTGCCGCCATCTATCCCCGCCACGGATTGGCACCTCTGGTGCGCAATCAGTCAAAGTGAAAGTAAAACCCCTGTTTAATATCATATGACATGAGTCTGCGCACTAGAGGTACTATAAGGCGTATCGGAGAATGTATGCTGCGTTTGAAGAACACACAGCATCTGAAAAGTTTATTGCACAGCGGCGGAAAAAAAGTTTTAGAGCCGGAGTTCAGTGGACATGACCGACATCCAGTGAGGCGACAGGCAGGTAACTGGTATCCCTTATCCGAAGGTGTGACTCGGGCACGTTTATCCAAAGAGGAAAAGATGTCGGACGGGGTGTGCGGTCCTCTCTAAATATTGTTTAGTGTACATGAGCTCCGTTGTGTAATGATTTCAAGTTGGCTTACTGATGCGCAGTGTTAACAGTTTGATCAATGCTTTGCGTCATTTAGGTAATCAGAATTAAGAAAATGTGTTTTCTAAAAATGCATTTTACCATTTAATATGTTCTGCCTTTAAGTAACATTTTGCCTAAAAATATTGCGTTTGATAGTCTTCTGTAAGCTGTGGTGTTTTTTATTTGCGCTTCCAAACTTTGCGTGTGTAAAGTGTCTCTACTCCAACATATTTGCATGTGCAAAATGGTGCATTAGTTAATGAAAGGGCATTGGCAGGGTAAGTTAGTGAAAGCAGGGTATTTAGGGTGACTTCCAGGGAATGAAAAGAAAGCAAAAACTAAACGCATGCACAGTAGGCGATAGCCAGCGTGGATATGTTACTTTATGAATGATCAAGATTCAGCAACTTTCAAGGCTTTTTCTTTCTTTTTCTTGCAGCTTTTCTCACCTCGGCCATGTGTTGCGCTGCATGTAGTCTTGTGCATGTTTTTATTGATGAGGTTGCTGTGACAGAGCATGCCTGGTGATGTATTTAAGTTGACCAGTTCTTCATAGCTTTTTTTTGTGTGTTATCATGCGGCAAGTCACCCACTGCTATTGTTTTTTAATATGGACTAAAATGGCACCTGATGTATTAACGTCATCCTTTACAGTACACAGCAAGTGCACACCATATGCTCGGCGTAACAGGAAACTTGGATATGGAAATTCAAGATGTATTGGTTCACACAGAGTTGAAAGTCTACAGTTGATGCCATGAGTCTGTGTTCTGGCTGGAAGTCAGGGTTCTTGGTTTTGTATGGTAAGGGTCTGTGTGTGTGTGTGTGTGTGTGTCTGTGTGTGTGCGTAGGTGTGTGTGTGTGCGTGTGTGTGGCAGGAATTCTAACCACAACCTGCTAATACAATGTAACCTTACAGGTCGTCAAACAGCATACCTGCCATTGTATTTGGCAGTCTGGCTGTGCCATTTGGATCCTAAGCCTATCTTGGACTTGTAAAGTTTTATGACACAGATACGTGTGACTAATTTTCTTCAAATGTTTCCTCAAGTGGAGCCTCTAGAGGGAACTGAGTTTGGTGGTCCGACTAGAGGGTTGAGAAGGCATCCCAGTGGAAAGTGATGGAGGGCACTAAACATGCAGTTGACTGTCAGACAGAGATGAAATGACCCCCACACAGAGAGAACAGTTCAGGTGCTCCCTCGTGCTTGTTCAACTCCTCAAACGCCACCTGACGTGGATCAGATCAGAAGCACCTTTTTCTGAATCTGCTTGTTTTTGCGCTCCCTCTGCTCCAAATACACAGGAACCGTCTGAGCTAATTATAGGAAACTCCTAACACCCTTTGTGGTCTTTCAGGCATCAGACACTGTTGTTTTGTCCACCTACAACCCTTCTAGACCGGGTCATCATAAAATGTAGTGATTTATTGTGTCCAAAGTACCTCAATGAATCAACAAGACAAGCATTTGAAACAGCTCGTTGCTGGTTTTGTCTCATCCCCTGTCCAAGTTTCAAAGTTCAATCAATACAGTTTGATAATGATTTGAAATATTTGTATCGTAGCTGTATCAGAACACAACGAAAGCCATCACCACCAATGTGTGCCTGAGGAGCCTCGAACTGAGACTATCATGTTCCCGACACAGTAGGCAACCCAAGTTTGAAGTTTGAGTAAAAATACTTTCTTACTCTTACTAAGAAAGTCATCGTTTGCATGCACATTTTGTGATGACTGTACGATATACTGCAGCATTGGTCATGATGAGTAATACAGTATCTCTGTCCATCGGTGTGATTCAGAACAGGATTGTTTAGCTTAACTGTTGCTTTCTTGTCAACTGTAATCCCCGAACACACGTTGCAGACGTTGCAGCACACCATGCATTTGTCAATTAAATGGTTTTAATTCCATATATCATATATTATTATATAGTTATTGTTTATCATTACTTGGTTTAATTTTGCATCTTAATTGCTACATGACACATTACTACATTACATATACAGTATATATATATTGTATGTAAAACTGTTGTATAAATAATAACTGACCTCAGAGCTGCTCTTAAATGGAGGACAAGAGGAGTGTGAAACAACAGTGGCACTGTTCTCTGTCAGTCGAGGTTAAGGTAATTTTATTTGTAGGCCCTTACAACATGTTCTGAACTCATTATGCTTTATTTTAGGATCCATACTTCAACAAGTGACATTCAGACAAACGTGATAAAGAAAACGAAGTTATTAAAACAAAAGAGAGAAAAAAATACAGGAAACAAACACACACACATATAGTGAAGAAAAACACTTCCAACGGCTAGACACAAACCACATACACACACACACACACACACACACACACACACACAAACAAACACAATCAACAAGACAAGCAAAACATTAATGTAAGCCTGAGAACATATAACAGTGTTCGCTGGGTAAATACATCTTTGCTTTTAGTTTAATTTTTTTTAAGTAAAGTCAAGCCTCTTAAGTGTAACTTGTCAGAGTGCTGATAAACAGCCCCTGGTTGATAACCTATGCCTGATAATCTATTGTGAAGGCTTTTGACCCCTTCAAACTGAAACATTAAGACGCACACTTCATCATCATTACCAACAATGACTCTTAACATTATGTAAGTAGGGATGTTTCAATATGCGTTGCTCAATATGGGACTGTTCGCTAAAAGAATTATTCTCATAAATATTCCAAATCACCTGGACTTGTTGTTTGCTGCCAGGTAACATTATTCTTGTTCTATGTGTGCTTTACATCTCTGTGTAGGGACAGACGGTACATAAATGGAAACTCTTTTCTGTCATCTGTAGCTCTTTCATCTGCTGCACGGCACCGGCAGCAAAAGTGGGCAAATGTTTTGTGATTCAGAGGATTACATTTATCTATATTTACTTCTCATCCTTTGTGTATTTTAACAATGATGGCAGCATTTGGGTTTGAAATGAGATTTCAAAATGAGGAAATTATGAAACCTAAAGTGGGAACATGTGCAAAGCTTAATAAGATTTTTTTAAAAACCACTGTGGCTGCCAAAACATGCCAACTCCTCATCTGATGCTGTCTGTGAGGAGCCAATCAGTGCCCACAGATCAAGAGGTGGCCTTCAGTTTAACACAGTATTCACGCAACTTCCCTACTCATGTGTCAATATGTTAATTTCATTTTATGTGTGTGTTTGTGTGTCAGGTGTAAAGATGCAGGAATTGGATCAGGACCCGTTTATCTGTCCTTTCTTGGGAGATCTACCAGGTGAGTGTTGTTTGAGTTTGAATAACCCGACTAGACTCTGGATGGGTTGGATGGTTCAACATGGATCAACGTGCTGATTACATGGAAAGCTGCTGCTTTTACCCCATTTTATGAAGCAGACCGTGTTTATCCCAATAACCTCATAAAAGAAATGCAACGGAACATTAATGGAAATATAGTGAGTTTAATACGCCAGGATCACCACCAAGCTACTGTTGCATTAACTGCAGCAATAGAGGACTTAATTATTGAAATAATCAAATCACTAATCCAATGGGCATGTTTAACATAACAAGATTAAGGAAAGCCACAGGGGTGCTTAAAAAGCTGGTCTAGGATCTGGGCTGGTTGGTTGAATGGGAAAGAGTTTTTAAACATTTCTGGCATTTAATATCTTCATTTTCTTACTCTTATATTATATATTATAGTTGAGACAAGCTGGATTTAGAAAAGCAGCCCGAGAAACAGACATGCAGGCCAAATGAACTGTGAAACTCAGCAAATATTGAATGAAAGACATGAAAGACAACTGTTGCAAGTGTTTTGTCCAATAATGCTCATTATTTGTGTTTTAGATGATTTATCTGAATTCTTTAACGATGATTACCTGGGAAAGTTTGTGGGTAAGTTGCAATCAAACATTCCCATTAATTTACAGTCTGCAGAATGTAATAACACACTTAAGATTGGCTCAAATGGCTGACACATAAACACACATATTCAAGTATGAACACAAAGGTGATCTATTGTCTGCTTCCCTCTACGCAGTTCCTGACCTCGACACGGATGTGCTCTTTGATGATCCATGGTTGAATTGTGAGGATGAACTCATTAGCACCTGCAGTAAGGAGCCCTTCTTTTAATTTTTAACACATAACAAGCAATAAATGTGAGTCAATGAGGAATATAAATACTTTTATTAGATATTACAAAGTGTTAATCATAGAAGGCCGCAGTCCATATCACATATAATTCATGTATTTCCTTATTTGGTATAATAACAATGCCGTTTGGCCATTGTAGCATTTTTGTTACCTTCCGTAAATGTCCAAAGAGAAGTGTTATAAACACCTTTACCGAGTGGGTTTTAATAAGATCAAAATTGATGCAGAACATTTTGCAGTGGAGTCTGTAAGACCCCAAACACCAAGGAAGTAAAGCCAATGCCAAAAAAAACAAAAGGGTAAATAATCTATTTCCATGGTGATGTTTGAAGTCACAGTTGCAGGTTTTATCATCTACCACTTCCTTTTTAAAATCTGCAACATGTTTGGAGAAACATGCTTCACTGCCCTGTTTTTCCGTTCACTACTGAAATGCATGAGAATAACGACCACTTCTGGTTATTGTGTCTGTTGACTGCATCACTGACTCTTTTACTTCCTCTTTCAGACACTTCAGGTGCTCTTCCTGAGCCAACAGAGCTGCCCAGCCCAGACAGCCACCAGCAGGAGCAGACGAACAAAAATACAAGCAAAACAAATAACAGTAGAAAAAGACCCAGAGGTAGAAAACCGTCCACGAACTAGAACCTACTAACTGCAGTCTGCTCGGTTGTGTGAAAACCCTCCTGATCACTCCTTTGTCATAGAAAACTTAACTTTAGGATTGCAGACACAACATTCTACAAGTAATGAATCTGTTTCACTTGCTTGGAAAGTTTACATGTTTTATTTGAAATTCCTTCTCTCCAGTTCCCCGGTCACCACAGTGCACTGATGAGAACACACCATCAAGGCCCAAAAGACAAAAAGCAGCAGGTGACCTACCCAGACTGTTTGGTTTCTGTCTAATACATATTAATGGCGTGGCTCTAAATGTGGGGCACTGGGAAATATATAACCTGCACTGTGTCAGCCACCAGCCCATCGTGTGGCTAGTTTAATAATTCTGCAAACCATGTTGCTGTGTTTTAGGAGACTATGTGTTTTGTTGACTGTCTCAGGCCGCCATTGGTTTCATCTACGTCCGTCTATTAGGAAAATCATTTAGCAGACTTTTGAAATATGACAGTGAACATCAAGTGGGCATCAATGTTTTTGAACATCATCATGAGATGATGCACTGCAGAGTTTTCAAATTAATCTGTGCTGTTAATCAGCATGCAACAAAGATGTCATAATGGAAACCAATGGCTGCGTGGAGCTGCAGGAAAATCTGAAACTGTGCAGCATTCGTTAGCAGAAATGCTAAGATGCTAACATGTTTTGTAGTTAAGGAACAAAAACTTCCTAATACAATATTTTCCTTTAGAAAAATGGGTTCATATGAGGTTAGCTAAGAACCATGTTGTAATGTTGGTTCTTCAACTCTTGCAGGTCAACCAAAAACCAAAGTGGCACAGGCTGATCCATCTGTCACTCAAGGTCAGTTTCTAATGTTCCTGCTGTAAACTGATGCAATTGTTAGGGGAACAGGTAGACATTGTACATTTTCACATACAATTTAAGCCTCTGAACACTCGTCCACATACAGTATACACACTAACAACATACATATACACTTCCACAGTCTCTCATAAACGAACACAGAGAGCAAGTGCCTATGGTCTATTTTCAGAAATATTCCACATATTCTGGCAAAAGAAGGAAGAAATCCCATGCATACTCTTTTAACTCATACAGAATAAACATACATTAGACTTATATAAATAAAGTGACATTTCACAACCAAGGCAAATCTTCTGCGGCTCGGGTAGCAACATTAGACTCATGCTTTAAAGGGATGTTGGTGGGCTGTACTTGACTTGGTTCCTTCGTGCCATTGGATTGCAGATCAAGAAACAGGAAGTTTAATTTTGAAGTCATCAGATTAGGACAAGTGGATATACTGAAAGAAGAACTCTCACTTCACCCGGCTTCCTCCAGATCAGTTTGGTGCTTTTTAGATATCCAATCTAGTTCTCAGTTTGATAAAATCTATTGTCTTTCCAGATGAGTTGTTGACGATTATTTGCTGTACATTGTTGTAAGTTCAGGGCTATCGGTCTACTTTTGAGCACTGAGCTGCTAAAGTGAAAGTTTCAGTCTTGACACAAAATAGTTGAATCTAAATCCCTTGTTATTCACTTGGAACCTAAACTATCAGCTTGTTTTCTTTGTCCAATCCCAGTTTTTGATACGCTCAAGGTTAACAAAACTTGTCAGCAGAGAAAAGATTAGGATGTTGTCTCTGCTTCTTTTGCAGGCACTGACACAGGGTCAAAGCCGAGTTCAGCAGAGACGGCCAGCCTCTCCACCACTCCACCAAGAATCCTTCATCTTCATCCCTCCATTCAGTTTGTCCCCATCCCAGACACTCCAGCATGTCAGGTTGTTCGGACACTGAGGCTCTCTCATCCGCTTATCACACTTCCACTCCCCAATACAGCTGCTACACCTACTTACATATTGGGTGAGTAGAGTATTCACATATATGCATGCAATGTTGATTGTGTAGTCCCATCGAATACTATGCTGCATTTGAGTCAATCAGATTGATTTTGAATATTGTTGAATATTTTGTCTCTGTTTGTAATAACTTTATGTATCCAGTGGCCTGCGGAGTCTCTCAAGGCTCAGTCCTTGGTCCTCTTTTGTTTAAAGCCCCCACCCCTTCCCACAAAAAGGATTTGAACATTTCTAACTTTGGTGACTGCCAGTGGTTGTATTAAAAAAGGACACTGCCATTCACAGTAATGGATGCCAATCTGCCTGTAGTTAGCATGCTGGGATAAACCTCCCAGAAGATTTGAGATTTGTTGTGAATCTAATTCCACATCCTGAACTAAATTTGTGTTGTATTGTGTTACTCTTTTACTATTAAATGTATTCCGTGCACTATGTCAAGCACTTAGTATATGAAATGTGTCAAACTAATTAACTTGCCTTGCCCCCTCATGTATGTATATGTATTGAACATATGCTATATCAACAGTAAATACTCTAACACTTGTTTCCTATATAGTTCCTGCTACCTCACCTCCCTTCAAACAGCAAGTGCCACCCCTCTCCCCGAGTGAGTAAAAAAGTCTTTAATCTGGGATGTGCATGTATATGTGGGTGTCTGCCGGTCTTTACCTCATGTGTATGTATGCAGAGATCTCATTCCGGCAGTGTTATGTAGGTTATATTTCCACATGTACAGTTTGAGCTCTGCCTTTATGGCAGCAACATGGAAACCACTCTCTGCAGACTTCTGTATGTGTGAATGCAGGTTCTTAACAGTTCTTCTATTGTGTTTGTAGTGGACGGAGCAGTAGCGCCAGTCCAAATGAGTTCAGCCCCACCGGGATCTCTGTCAGACACCGCTAGCAAAGCCATGTCTCCACCTTGTGCCTTACCCCTCTCCCCCAACAATGGTGAGAACCAGTTACTCTCTGATTTCTTTCTTCTTGTGTGTAAATCACTTTGCAGAGTTGTTTCCATGACACAAATACCTTGGCCTGTTTTTCAGAGATGTCTACATGTAAGGAATCACCTCTTCCTCAGTCTCCCACAGTCCTTGATATTCCACGTACGTTACCACATGCTTTTATTCCTCTCTTCTGCTTTGATGTAAAAGAATTCCTGTATAAATCACGGAGAAGCAGGTTCAAATTCAGTTTTGTTTCTTTTTCAGAGGTTGTAAAGGACTACATTCAGGAAGCCAAAGCACACGTGAGTCAAACCTGCCAGGATATGGAGTCAGGCCTTTGTCTGACTTCTCATTACGTAGATGTGCAAGTGAGCCAGAGAGAGATTCTCCGGTCTGGAAAGAACACCAACAAAGTCCTGGACAAGGAACTAGTCATCACGGGAGATACAGATCGGCAAAAAAGGTTGTTGGGGCACATTCAGGTAAGAGTTTCACTTTAATTCAGTCGTAAAACAGTTACGATCAAGTGCTTTCAGCCAAAACTTAAGTATACTGAGCATAAGATTTCTGATTTGTTGATAAGACTAGTCAAACAGGTCAAGAACATTGCTGAAACCACTGGCTGGTACCTACAGTACATGTTTGTCTTTTTCCACTCAGATATTCGAAGGCTCAAATGGAGACAAACCCAAATGCTACATATTGCTACTCGGCAATGCTGGCATGGGAAAAACAACCCTGATCAGAAAACTGTGTCTTGACTGGTCCAGAAACTGCATCCCACAGTTTGACTTTGTCTTCGTTTTAGACGGCAAAGCACTCTCTTTATCGGAAGCAACCTATAGCCTTCAGACCCTTCTTTTAAACTTCTCCTCTTTTGCCCCTTCCTGCATGGACCCAGAGGCAGTGTATGCTCAAATTCTCGCAGCCCCTAAGCGTGTGCTCGTCATTTTTGATGGGTTTGACGAGTTGCGGGACTATGAAATTCTTCTCCAGACTCAAGAAAAAGACTTGATAACGTCATTGCTAAAAGAAAGTAAAGCACAGAACTACACAGTAAGACAGTTATATTCTGCCATCCTTCAGAGGGTCCTCCTTCCAGGCTGCACTCTTCTGCTCTCCACTCGACCAAGAGGCACTGCCAGCCAGCTACTCAGGCGGACAGACAGTCTTTTAGAGGTGTGTGGCTTTAACCCCACAAACGTAGAAACATATTTATCCCAGTACTTCACTGATCCTGACCTCAGAGCACCTGCTTTGAGCTGTTTGAAAAGCTGCAGCTATCTACAACTCCTCTGTTGGAACCCTGGACTATGTCGGTTGGTCTGTTTGGTTTTAGAGCAGTGCAAAAGTTCGGAGGACCTACCAAGAACTTTAACCGGGCTCTGTCATCAAGTGCTTCATCTGAAACTGGAAAAGGACCATAGTGGCACACTCCCGGAGGCTGAAACTCAATCAGAAGTGTCTGTGCAATCAGTAGAAAAAACTCAGACACAAATCTCAAGAAGTTCTCAAGTGAATAGGCGTCAAAAAAACACTCGGACAAAGTCCAGAGCACTGGTTCGCACTTGCTCTCGTACCCAAAGCGAAAAAGAGGAAGATGACGTTGATAGGGAGTGGGTGAAGAGTGTTGGCGGGGAAGTAGATAGAACAGAGAGAGAGTTGCTGTCCCAGCTGAGTTGTCTGGCCTGGAAGGGGGTCAAAGCAAACTCTTCCATCCTCCCCACAGAACAGATATCTGCCAAACTCAAGGCGTTCGGCCAAAGGACGGGGCTCTTCTTCTCTTACCACCTAAGGACGAGGCAGGGTGTCTCAAGTGGTGAGAGGGAGGGAGGAGGAAGAGAGGACAGAGAAGAAATAAGAACACGAAAGAATAGAGAAAAGAGGGGAAAGAATGGGAGGACGTCTACTGAAGACGCTATTGCAAGTGATGACCACATCCTGTTGTGGGCCAACCCTTTCCTTCAGAGTTACCTGGCAGCGGTTCATCTGTCTCTGTCAAGGTAAAAGTTTCTTGATTACTCAGAAGAAAATAGGCCTCAAGATTAAATGGGTTGTGGTTCATTGATAGAGTGAATTAAAGGCAGTTTTAAGGCTTTAATCAGGCATGATATCTTCTGTGCCCCTTAATTGAAAATAAAACAGCATATCCCTTTCCACTCCCAGCCTCCTTTCTCTTTTACTTTCAGTGCTCTGGATTTCCCTGACTCTTTCTTACTTTCTGTTTCCCCAGGACCGTAACAGACCGTGCCTTCCTCCAGACCCTCCCTTTCCAGTCAGGCCAGAAGGAACGTCGGCGGCCTCAGAGGGAGGAGGTCGATCTCACTCAGCGATTTGCAGTCGGGCTCCTGTTCCACAACAGGACAGAGCTGCAGAGGCTTCACTCATACACAGAGACATCCTTCAGAGATATGGTGGCCGTCAAGCAGGCTTTAGTAACAAGACATCTTGAGGGGCTCTCCCATCATGACCTGAGCCCCGCCCAGGTCCTGGAGGCTTGCCACTATGTTTATGAGGCCAGTTCCATGCATGGCGATGGTAGCAGAGACAGTGGCAGCACACGATTAGTCGCTCACCTGGCAGCAAATCTTCCAGAAGTCCTGACGTTTCATGGAGTTCCATTCAAGCCGTCGGACGTGTTCGCTGTGCAGAACGTTCTCGAAAGGGGTGGAACTGAGGGAAGAAGGTTCTGTTTGGATCTGGAGGATTGTGGGATACAGATTTTGGGACTCAGAGCTCTGGTGGGGCTCAACAACATCAACACATACAGGTACTGGTTACAATGTACATCTCAAAAAGTAATAGCTTAGCAATGCTAATAAGGGTCTGTCAAGTTTGGGATTTTGCCAGAATCCAAAGGGATGTGCATGAGGCTGTAGTAACAGTGATACTTTGCATTTAACGTTTTTAGAATGGTGTCATTGTTATGTCTGGCTAACTAGCTTACTACCTACAGTAGCAATTTTTGGGCAATTTATACCTTCATCAGTGTCCGCTGACATTTCGGTGATGCCAAAGTCAACCCTTGGGTGTCTTCTAGGGCATGCATTGCTGATGTCATCACCTTATGGGAGCAGCTAGAGCACAGTGGTGAAGAAGACCTCCTACAAGAGACGGTGTCCAAATTCAAGATCCATCCTCTGAAAGCCACACAGGTGTGTCACGTGGAGCACCTGGCAAAGCTGGTGAACATACATATGCACAAGAGGCTGTCGGACAGGTAACACACTACACGCACACACACACACAGACACAAAGATACACACAGTGACCCTTTGCAACATACAAACTATGTGTCTGGCCCCTGAAGTGCGTGTTGTGTTTAATTGTAGTTCCAGCCAATCAGATTCCATTCTGGCAGAGGGAGTGCCAGCTGTCAAAGAGCTACACAAGCTGGAGTTTGAGTGAGTATAGCTCTGACATTTGAACTGATGATGATGGTGGTGATGATGGTGGTGATGATGATGACATTATTTTTCTCTCTAGGCTTGGTCCAGAAAAAGGTCCCCTGGTTCTTCCCAAGCTTTGGGAGCTCCTGCCAGGTCTACATAACCTACAGCACTTAGAGTAAATATACACCCCTTTACTTCTAGTTCTCTCTCTGTGTTTATGTATTTGTTTCTAGTGTCTGACAGTCTCTCTCTCTCCTCCTTCAGCCTAGAGAACAGTAAGATAGGGGACAAAGGAGCAGAGAAATTAGCTGATGCTCTAGTCTCACATGGTTCCCTGGAGATACTCAAGTGAGTACTACATGTTGACGATATAAAAAGCTAAATCTGACCTCACAATACAAAATAAACCATTTAGTGTTTTACATTGTAAGATCTTAGTGTTAACCCTCTATTTGTGGTTTCTAGTCTCTCACAGAACTGTATCGGAGACCAGGGGGTTAAGAAATTAGCGGCAACACTGAGGGATCTGCCCAAACTGCACTGTTTAAGGTATATATTACACACATACACACACACACACACACACGCATATACCTAAACAACACCCACAGTTGCACATACCGTGGACTCACTATAATTTCACCTCCCTCTATGTTTTCCAGTCTCTACAGTAATGAGATTTCTGATGAAGGGGCAGAGAGCTTAGCAGCTGTCCTCCCACACGTGGCTTCACTCACTGAACTGGAGTAAGACTCACTTTTTCATTCGACATTTGGGATTCCTGTGTGTATGTGTCTGCTTTGATAACTTCATATTTGATTCTTTAAGTATCACAGCAACAAATATCTCGTAGAAACAGAGAAATACATCTTGGTTTATTTACTGAATGAGAAAATGTACCACATATGTATTTTGTAGTGACTATCATTTTCAGCAAACCCTCAACAGACAGAAATGGAAACACACGTACACACACACACACACACACACACACATCAAAAGAGGAACCAGTGAAATATGAATAGAAACATGTAAATGTTGATCAGCTGATCTGTTGGTCTGTGGTCACTAATATGTTGACACATTGAAGAGACATTTAAAGTGTAAACTTGTTTCTGTTCTACAGCGTGAAGTATAACAAGCTAACAGACGTTGGAGCACAAATTTTGGGAGCCAGTCTGAGAAACTGTACAAAGATGAAGACTCTGAGGTGAGAAAACCCTTTGTGTGTGTGTGTGTGTTTGTTTGTACTTGTACAGCTATCTTTGGGAGGACCAATTTTAATTTGAGACATTCAGAGTCCTCACTTATGGACAGACCTTCAAAGGCCTGTTTGAGGGTTCAGACATGGTTTTAAGGTTCAGGGTAGAATGAGCTTTAGGTTAAGGTAACGGTTGGGGTCAGGTATTGAGCTTTTTATCGTTAAAGTTAGGGTAAGGGACAAGGGAAGGCATTTGTGAGTGTCCTCACAAAGATATAAGTACAAGGTTGTGTGTGTGCGGGATCATCATCAGGTTTAATAGCTCCACAACTAAAACTAAAGACTTGTTATTGTTATTTAGTTTCCTTCACAAGCATGTCAGATTGCATCGTAAAATCATTTTCCATCTCATCCTGTCACAGGATGTGGAATCAGTGTATTCCATACGGAGTGTTTGAGAGACTTCAGCAGCAGGACAACCGGATCCAGTGGCAGTAGAACGACATGAAACCTGGACATGGACTTTTTATCGTGTTTCTCATGCATACATGTTCACACTACACAACACATTTTCTAAAGCATGTATGTTAAAGAAACAGTTCCTGGAACAGAGAGAGAGAGAGAGAGAGAGAGAGAGAGAGAGAGAGAGAGAGAGA